ATTCTGCTACCACTAGCCCTCCACCACTGGGTCGCGGTGGCCAAGTGGTTAAGGCGTCTGATATTCTGCTACCACTAGCCCTCCACCACTGGGTTGCTGTGGCCAAGTGGTTAAGGCATCTGATATTCTGCTACCACTAGCCCTCTACCACTGGGTCGCTGTGGCCAAGTGGTTAAGGCGTCTGACATTCTGCTACCACTAGCCCTCCACCACTGGGTCGCTGTGGCCAAGTGGTTAAGGCGTCTGATATTCTGCTACCACTAGCCCTCCACCACTGGGTCGCGGTGGCCAAGTGGTTAAGGCATCTGACATTCTGCTATCACTAGCCCTCCACCACTGGGTCGCGGTGGCCAAGTGGTTAAGGCATCTGACATTCTGCTATCCCTAGCCCTTCACCACTGGGACGTGGATTAAAGACCTATGTAGGGCAGTCACCAGGTACTGGTCGGTGGTTTTTCTCCGGGAACTCTGCCTTTCCTCCACCATCAAAACCTGGCACGTCCTTAAATGACCTTAGCTGCTAATAGGACGTTAAACATAAACAAACCAAACCAAATCTGTTAAAATGTTGTGAAAAATTTAGTTCCTTGACGTGTCTCGATAGTGAAATTATAATCTGTGAAAATTTGATTTTCCAATTTTGGGTTAAAAAAGCAAGACTTTAGGCCCATGCAAATAACATTTGTTAAGATAGTCTCTGTTGTGTTTTAATAGAGTCAGCCATAGGCAGGTATTTGAGATATTGAAAGTTTACACCAATGGTCACAATCGGATATGCGATGACTTGAGTTCACATTGTAGAGAAATGTCTCTCCCACTGGTACAGTGTAGGCAGATTTTTATTGCAAGTGTTTTCTTATCATATTCAGCGTAATGAGTTTAATTTCATAGTTAATAATATAAGAAGACACACATTTTCCCTACGTCCTCATTGGTCGGATCATGATCATGTGGAGGTCAGTTATTTGTGATATTGACTTGGTTACAATTTCAGAAACACAGGTTAGTTAGTATTCATTTTATGACGTCAATTGAAACGTCACGATGCTCTTTACCAAAGGCAGGACTTTACCCTCTACAATTTAAATATATTCTATCATATTTGATTATTGAAACATTATTTAGTATCTAATATAACGATTATGGACTTTTATTTCGGTGAACATGTGGTTAGATGGACCCAAAAAAGTGATATAGACCTCAACTTCATCTTGGTTAATATCACTTCCTCAGGTATATATTACCACATTTTCACTTCAACAAAAGTCTATAATTGATAAATTTCATGAATTAAGACCAGTTTTGATAATTATCATTGCTCTAATGTACTCAAAACAAGAGACACTCACTAATTGATGTTGACTGTAGTCACATTGTCAACAATTTACAATGTAAGAATTTTCATTATAAGATTCAGTTTATTCTTCAGAAGTAAATTTAACTTTTAAAAGTGAGAGAACGGAAAACTCCAGTTAAAATGGGGGAATAGAAAGAATGGTACAACAAAGCTGAGTATCCATTATGCTCCAGAAAGAAATATGTATAAACATTTTGTATTTAATGACAAATTTGTTTTCAGTTCAATGCCTATATGTCAGTGATTCGGGACATGCTGGGTCGCATGGAGAAGGATCAGCGGGCCAAACTCGAACAGCTCGATCAAATGAAACAAGAGCAACAGTATGTTCAGCTTGTTAAAATATCTAGCTTTGTATAGACTAAGCCAGCTCAGTCAAACTCTGAAAATCCAGTTGCTCAAAGGTAGTTAACACTAACCAGTGATTAGTGAAAAATTCAAATTGTTGCCACTGAAAAATGGGCTTTCAAAGCAAAAAAACTCCTCAAAACACATCAAGCTGATCTGTCACTTCAAATCTATAGCAGTGAAATAATATAAGATGTTCCTGAGTTTGTTGTATTCATATTTTAAAATGTTAACTATAACCAAACTTTAAGCAACTGGAGTGTGTAGACAGGGGTGTGTGAACTTAAATGCATGCTACAGGTCCTCTAAATAATGGTACGTTTGAAAGGAACTGCAAAATGCAAATCATGTGAATGTAAAACTGGTCTTTCTGTGTTTTTATCATAGGGCGATTCACCTTCCTCAATGACTAATATGTGGACATGTTTGACTAGGTTAGTTATACACTGTATACTATTAGCAGGTTATTTTTTTTGCAAGGTGATATGTTGGCAGTTTTAAGGTTCTTTGAATGTTACCGGAAAAAAATGTATCCACAAAATATTGTATGACTATTGAAACATTCTTCCATGTATTGGCATAGATAACCATTTCTCATGTTAGAATTCTACATGTTTACTTGCATAAATAGTAGGACTAACACAGGTACAGTAATATATGTATGTCTTACAACAAATGCAACAACAGTTCTTTACATAGATACCAGTTATTGAATGCATCACTGTAAAATCGTAGCAAATTTTACTGTTGCGTAAAAAAATACAATCACAGAAATGAAATTGAATCATTTCTGCCTCTAGTCGTGAACTCTTGTTGCCTTGAAATGCAATAGATATATAGTACTACAGATGAAAATGCTATATAATCTGAAGAAAAATAAATCAACTGATTCGATATATTTGTTTTGAAGGACCATTCAAATTACAAAGATCACCTCCTCAAACGACAATGAGCTGGTCAGTACTGGTGAAGAGGCTGGACAGCAGTCAATGGTAAGATTTACATGTATAATTAAATTTCCTCTTTCCCTGGTTATTTAATTAAAAAAAATTAAACTCTGACATATTAATGAAATTGTTCCCATGCTCAAACTCAGATTCTGTGTTCAAAGTTCTTGTTCTGGGATGAATTGATAAAAAATCATATATTGTCAATGATTTGGAAGAACCAAGGGCCAAGTGAGCTTATCCCATGCCGCAGCTTCCGGCGTCCGGCGTCCGTCACCTTTTTCCTTTAAAACGCTACTAGTCCTGAACGGCTCAGAGGATTATGACCAAATTTGGTCTGGGGCATCATTGGCCAAAGGTTTCTCAGTTTTGTATAAACGGAGGGTATGGTCCCCCTGGGGGCAGAGGGCGGGGCCAAATAGGGGGAAAATAGGTAAATCTTTTAAAATCTTCTTCTTCTCAACCAATAGAAGGATTTTGACCAAATTTGTCCTAGAGCATCTTTGGACAAAGGAGACTCAAGTTTGTATAAACAGAGGGTGTGGCCTCCTGCTATACAAGTGAAGGGATTTAAACCAACTACGGTCTGAAGCATGATTAGGGACTAAAGAATCAATTTTGTATAAACTGAGGTGTGTGGGCCCCCTTCTAGTGGCAGATGGGCTGGGCCTATTAGGGGAAATAGAGGAAAACATCAAAGACCCTTGTCCTTTTGTACCTACGAAGGGATTTTGACCAAATTTGGTTTGGAGCATCATTGGCCAAAGGGTTCTCAGTTTTGTATAAACGGAGGGTATGGTCCCCCTGGGGGCAGAGGGGCGGGCCCAAATAGGTAAATCTTTCAAAATCTTCTCCTTCTCAACCAATTGAAGGACTTTGACCAAATTTGTCCTAGAGCATCTTTTGACAAAGGAGACTCAAGTTTGTATGAACAGAGGGTGTGGCCCCTCTAGATGTGGGGGCGGGGCCCAATAGGGGAAATAGAGGATTTTGTTTTTCCTACTCTACAAGTGAAGGGATTTAAACCAAATGCAGTCTGAAACATGATGAGGGACAAAAGAATCAATTTTATATAAACTGAGGTGTGTAGGCCCCCTTTTAGGGGGCAGATGGGTGGGACCCATTAAGGGAAAAAGAGGAAAACATCAAAGATCCTTGTCCTTTTGTACCGATGAAGGGATTTTGACCAAATTTGGTTTGGAGCATCATTGGCCAAAGGGTTCTCAGTTTTGTATAAACGGAGGGTATGGTCCCCCTGGGGGCAGAGGGGTGGGGCCAAATAGGTGGAAAATAGGTAAATCTTAAAAAATCTTCTTTTTCTCAACTAATAGAAGGATTTTTACCAAATTTGTTTTAGGGCATATTTGGACAACAGAGCCTCAAGTTTGTATAAATGGAGGGTGTGGGGGCATAGGGGCGGGGCCTATAGGGAAAATAGAGGATTTTGTTTCTCCTACTATACAAGTGAAGGGATTTAAACCAAATGCAGTCTGAAGCATGCTTAGGGACAAAAGAATCAATTTTCTTTAAACTGAGGTGTGTGGACCCCCTTATTTGGGGCAGATGAGTGGGGCCCATTAGGGGAATCAGAGGAAAACATTAAAGACCCTTCTCCTTCTGTACCGTTGAAGGGATTTTAACCTAATCAAACTTGTTCTAGAGAATCTTTGGGCAAAGGGAATTGAATATTTATAAATGTTTATATGTAGTTCTTCTTGCAACTTTGTTTCTTGTACTCCTTTGATAAACCTGAATGGTACTCAGCAGGTTTTAAATTGAAAAATAAAATACCAGGTGAGCTATTAAGGCCCCTGGGCCTCTTGTTTGTATGTACGGTAACATTACCTTAATTTCCTTTGGATATACTGTAGCACATGTACAGAAGGGCCAGGACACTTGCGGTTACCATGTGGTTTAATCGGTCAGGGCTCTTGTATAACAATCTGAAATCCAGGGTTCAAATTCTGGACTTGTCCTACTGAGAACACTACTGTTGGTGATATTTTTTTTCTTTTTCGTCTTTTTTTCGTAATTTCTTAATTTTCATCATAAAAGTCCCGCAAGATATGGTTTTCTTTCCAGAAATGATTTATCAAAGCTATAGGCATGCCAGATAAAACACAATTTCCAGTGAATAGCTACTGTTTTTGGTAGTGGCACAGGGATCCTTAAGTTTTTTGTATTTTTTGTAGATGGGCAAATTTCTGAGTGGGTTTGGTATCAGTGGAATGATGAGCGGTGAAAAGTCGGCCCCAAGGTCAAGTAGCACCACCCCTGTCAGCAGTAGTGGGGAAGTTGTGAAGATTGAGGAGGAAAACCACCAGGCAGCTATCCCTATCAGTCAGCCATCAAAGGCATGTATTATACTCATGTTCTGTAAGTTCGGAACAAGATTCATCAGTTTGGTAGGAAAAATATATGCTTAGTGCAAGCTTCGTGTTTAGCAACATAAGAAGCTTTCTTGGAGGGTTGAGATTCCCCTATCTCACCCCAAGGGCTGAAAGATTCTATTATTCTTATATCTATTTTGGTGCTCCATATTTGTACCAACTTAGTTCCGAACAGATCTTCTTCAAAGTTTACACAAAGGTCAAATATGAGAAATTACCTTAGATGCATTTGTATCACAGGATCCCAAGGTCAACACCAAGGTCACCTGCTATTTATAGGTCAACTATAGCGCCAAGAGGGCATTAGTGTCTCACAATGTTAACTAATTTACCTGGTTTGTTGTTTCAGATTTGTTACTGGTAATGTAGCATGTTACCCCCCAATATCATGTCAATAACATCAAAAAAGAAACAGTAATTGTTTTTTTATTGAATCAACATTTTTTTTTCTCATTTTAAAATAATTTTCTCCCTTTAGACATTATCATTGGAAGAGAAGCAGAAATTGGCAAAACAACAGGAACAGCAAAGACTTTACAAAGCCCAGAAACCTTTAGGCACAGCAGCCAGTTCTTCAACAAAGTCCCCACAGACCTCTCGAGCTCCAAACACAGGGGTCAAGGACCTGACGTCCTCTCTCATGGGTTCCAATCTGATTGGAATACCTCCCTCGGCAAATAAAACACCAATGAACGTGAACAGATCCAGCAACCATGGGTCTGCTGGCATGGCAACGAACACTTCTATGAATTCAAGTGCTGCAAGGACTACTGCATCTGTGTTTGGAACAAATTCTGTGCCAGCAAATAGAACTATGGGGCAACCTTTAGGTCAAAGTTCAATGGGTATGTCTGGTGGAATGGGTCAAAGTTCAATGGGTATGTCAGGTGGAATGGGTCAAAAATCAATGGGTATGTCAGGTGGTATTGGTCAAAGTTCAATGGGAATGTCAGGAGGAATGGGTCAAAGTTCAATGGGTATGTCAGGAGGAATGGGTCAAAGTTCAAAGGGAATGTCAGGTGGAATGGGTCAAAGATCAATGGGTATGTCAGGCGGAATGGGTCAAAGTTCAATGGGTATGTCAAGTGGAATGGGTCAAAGCTCAGTAGGAATGTCTGGTGGTTTTGGAATGAATCCAAATTCTACAATGATGGGACAAAATAGTGTGTCAGGTCAGAAAGTGAATATGTCGTCCTTTGACAATTTGTTGCCTATGTCATCAAGTCAACAACCACAAATGTCTTTGAACCAAATGTCCCAGTCAAATGTCAGACCTCCACAACAACAAACTTTAAATTCAAATCAATATGGAATGATGGGGAGCAATATGGGTACCCCAATGGCTGGTATGGGTCAGATGTCTGGAATGGGAAGTGGACAGTTTGGTGGAAGTCAGGGCTACATGCAGAACTCCACAGGCATGCTACAGCCAATGGGATCACAGCTACAGCAGCCAATGGGAAGCCAAGGAATTCAACCAATCACATCTCAAGGAATGTCAAACAACTCATCATCCAATGATCTGTCTGATATATTTGGTTAATAGTTAATGTATGCAGGGGCTTTACCGTATTCGAACAAATTAATACCCCATGTCCCTGATAATCATTCCTTATCCTTTTTAGGGTGTTTGACCTTCTCAACCTTAACAATAACTTTCAAACAAGTTTAATTTATGTTTTTGTTTTTGAGAATTTTGGAGCTGCAGCAGTTATTCCTAATTATCCATATTGCTATACAAAGCACATTGGGCCCCTATCAGGTAAACTGCAGTAACTGTATAGTGCTGTGTACTCTGAAAAGTATGACAGTAGCATGGTTTAAATGAAAAATATACCAAACAAATTATTTATTCTTCAAAGGACAATGGTAGAATTATTTATCTTATAAAGGTTTAAAGGGACAACTGTTTAATTTAATACATCATGTGAATTCATGGTTGGAAGAAAAGTACTATTTCCACAAACTTACAGTCATATCACCAGATTTATTAGTGATGTTGTAATCTTTAGATAGCATATCAATTTGAATATACTTTTTGGTATATTTATGGTTGATTCTATTAAGGGATGTGCAATGACAGCCAATCATAGTAGTTTCTTATGTCATCAAGCTTAAGTGTAATACATTGTACTGTATGTCAGATTACAGAGGAATTATAGGACAACCTGTTGTTTGTATGTTCCTGTATATGTCAGATTACAGAGGTACTATGGGACAACCTGTTGTTTGTATGTTCCTGTAGATGTCAGATTACAAAGGTTTTATAGGACAACCTGTTGTTTGTATGTTCCTGTAGATGTCAGATTACAAAGGTTTTATAGGACAACCTGTTGTTTGTATGTTCCTGTAGATGTCAGATTACAGAGGTACTATAAGACAACCTGATGTTTGTATGTTCCTGTAGATGTCAGATTCCAGAGGTACTATAAGACAACCTGATGTTTGTATGTTCCTGTAGATGTCAGATTCCAGAGGTTCTATAGGACAACCTGTTTGGATGTTCCTGTAGATGTAAGATGACAGAGGTACTATGGGACAACCTGTTGTTTGTATGATCCTGTATATGTCAGATTACAGAGGTTCTTTAGGACAACCTGTTGTTAGTATGTTCCTGTATATGTCAGATTACAGATGTACTATAGGACAACCTGCTGTTTGTATGTTCCTGTAGATGTCAGATTCCAGAGGTACTATAAGACAACCTGATGTTTGTATGTTCCTGTAGATGTCAGATTACAGATGTACTATAGGACAACCTGTTTGGATGTTCCTGTAGATGTCAGATGACAGAGGTACTATAGGACAGCCTGTTGTTTGTATGTTCCTGTATATGTCAGATTACAGAGGTTCTATAGGACAGCCTGTTGTTTGTATGTTCCTGTAGATGTCAGATGACCGAGGTTGTTTAGAACATCTTAATGTTTGTGTGTTTCTGATTAATAGAGGTCAGGTTATACAGATCTACTTAACACAATATTTTTTTTCTATAATCCCAATTGATAATGAAAATCAACATTTTTATTTTGTTATCACCCTCTTCTTTGAGAAAGAACATTAGAAGCTATTTCCCTGTCATGATAAGATCACAGAATATGTCAACAAATGACGTCCTTAATATGTGGACTTAGTGAATAGTGAATCGTTCAGGAAATGAAATTTGAGATAAATTTATCTGAATGCAATTGGATAATATTGTTATTTAACATGAAATTAATTGTACTAAATTTAGACAATGTAGTTTCATTACAGTAGCATATATATCATATGACTGTTAAGTGAGTGTAGAGACTGACAATGCTATATATCTCAATGCTGTACATCTATCAATGCTTGGTTATCATGGTAATTATATAACCAGTGCTTGCATGACACTTTCTTTATTTTCTATGAATGTTTTACAAATCTGGGTGTCTCACATATGAGATGGTTCATATTGAGGATGTGTATCTACCTAGCTAGAAGGAATGTATCTGTGTTTTTATTCTTTGGCCCCATACCAAGTATAGGAGATTGTAAAGTCAGTTTGTTTTTGTTTTTCCTTATGTTTATTCATGTCAATTCATTGAATAAGTTAATTGAAACATTTGATAGCTACAGGTGGGATAAAAGTAAACTTACCACATTTTATTGCCGAATCAGAATAAATTCCTGCAGGTGAAAGCAGTTGATATTGAAAGAAAAATGTCAAGGTCAAGATCAAATGTCAAGGTCACAAAGTCATTTGTAAAATCCAATTAGAGGTTGTTTTTTCAAAGCATCACTCTCTCCCATAGCAATGACTCAAATACCAACAGTCTTGCTGTTTTTGTTCACCATTGAACTGTTCATAGAAACACAGGAATATGATAGTGGTTGTGAGTCCCAAATATAAATGTTATAACTCTTTTAATTATTTGGTTTAAATATTGTGGGTTTTTTTCAAAACACCTTTTTCTCAAGATATAGCAAAGAAATTTGTGTAAAATGTTCACATTCAAAGGACAAGGTCACAATGCAGTTGTCACATAATTCAATGTTTTTAAATGCTAATTTTTCTCATGCCTTTTTTTGCTTTCTTACAGAAGCAAACTATGTTTATTAACATTTTTTCCAGTTTACAAAACAGTACTAATGTTATACGGTGTACAACTTACTGTTTAGATAATGTGTTGATCACTAGGACTTTCAGACTCATATCACCACACTCATGTAGTGCAACAAGGGTTGGAATATAAATCATTTTCATTGCATGACAACATTATTTCATATACAGTATCATCTGAACTACCAATATATTATTAGGGTCGTCACACCGAGATCTTGTTATTGTGTTACACTCACTTTTGTTTTAATATGCTGTCGTTTCTGAGCTGCAATGATCTTTCTTAGCATTCCATTATAGCTTCTTGTTGGTAGAGATTTATTACATATATTTCGAAAGAAAATGTTTCTTTCTACATATCGTCATGTGACACTTCAATTCTGTGATAAACAATTTTCCAACTTAATCTCTATTGTGTGCAATTTATTTAATTAATGTACATATCCATTGTAATGTCTGTAGTAATTAATTTAGCTTTATTGGTTTACAATGAATTTTGATGTTTTCAAGTACTAGAAAATTTCTCCTGCAACTAGCCCATATGACCAACACAAAAAGTCTGGCTTAAAGTAAGGGGTGGCTGGGATTACTGTACTACGAACAATGAGGTAATGTAAATTGGCACTTGCACTGACCTGGGATATATATATGTTGCTCCCACAACCACTAAATAGGTTTTCTCACTCCCGACTCATTGGATAAACCTGCTAGCAGTTGGTAAACATTTTTGGTTACCCACTAGTGGGCAACACCCTGGACCTAATTGCATTGGTCAGTCCTTCAATTAGTTATGATGCAAGTAACAATACTTTGCGCCAGAATCTTCCATAGTTCATGGAAATAATTTCCGGTTGTGCATTATGCGAGAGAAATAAATATGAATGTTGATGATGAATCATGTCTTTTTGGTCTTTATTAATAATTGAGAAGTAATCAAACGAGACAAAATATAGGAAATATTATAAATAGTATTTGCTTATAGTACTTTAAAGATATGTTTAAAAACTTCCAATTTCAGTACACACAGCTACATACTTCATTGTCCAAATTAGTTCGAAGGATTTTGTTCAAGGAATTAAAACTCATGAAATCATGCATCAACATTTCAATAAAGAAACAAGAGAATACAGAAGTATCAGATTTCCTATTGTGAACTTTCCATTCTTGAAAGTAACAACCATTTCTCCGTTATCTACGTCGTTGATATGTCATAGTTGATGTAGTATCCACGAGCTTGCTCCGAATATCATGACTTATGTGATAGATGTTGATTGCTGACGGACAAAGCTATAGTACAGGGTTTCCAAAAATGCATGTTAATGAAGATGGACATGCCTTACGGTCGCCATCAGGACCTTGCAGGGAAATATGCTATATCTTTGTGTGATATAGAGGTCATTTTTTTTTATTATGTTCTTCTGAATGTTTTGTGGCTATGTTGTCACTACCCGAGGGTTTGAAGTGAGGACGTGTTATTACATGGTTTCAACTTCGATTTACATGGCGGGTACGTGTCATCGATGAAGCTGACGACGCTTACCTTCGGGACACCTTGGCCCACTTGTATAAAACATCTCAACTCTTGAGATTTCCTGAAGTCTAAGATTTCCCATAGACAATACATAGCTTGAGATTTTTCTTAACTTTGAGCTGTTGAAAATAAACAAGGAGAATAAGACCAGGTGTTCCGAAAGAGTATACGTCTTTTGCTTCATCGACGACATCCGCAAAGGAAATACAGATTGAAATAAAACAATAACACATCCTCAACGCAAGAAACAAAGTAGTGACAACCAAAACAAGGTTACCGCGAGTGGTATATAATACGCCCGTCACACATTGAATGAGCAGTTGTTTGTATGATTGAAATATATGAAGTATTTGTGAGTAATTGATATTAAAAGAGAAATCATTCAACATAACTGGTAGATCAATGAGTGCAATACAACATCATGGAACGCATGCATCGCATTAATGAAACCAAGGGTAATAACTCCAGTAATTACGGTCGGATAATGGCGGTTATC